TATAGGGTCACTATGAGTCGGAATCAACTCAGTGGCAACGGCTTTTTGTTTTTTTTTTTTAATGCCAGTTGGAGCCCTGTGGCACAGTGATTAAGAGCTTCTGCTGCTAACCAAAAGGTCAAATCCACCAGCCACTCCTGGGAAACCCTATGGGGCAGTTCTGTTCTGTCCTATAGGGTCACTGTGAGTCAGAATCTACTCTACAGCAACGGTTATGTGCCAGACACTGTGCTCAGTGCTAGGCATAATGGAGATAAATAGGTGGGGAGCTCTTGTGTACCCTCTTGGCTGTGATCCTAAGGGTAAACCACCATTGGTCATTCTGGAAATCTTCATTGAAGGGTAAAGTGCTGAGGATTGTGCAAATACAAAAGCATACACAGGACTCTTGGTTACTAGCCTTGTCTTTGCAGAACTTTTAAAACCTGTGCTCTTTAGAATGTCTTTGGGCCCTACAGTCCTTCATCCCCACTTGGTATGTTGCCTGGCATCAGGCTCACCTTCCCAGTTACTTTTTATTCACAGGGATGCTATAGCTGGGAAGTGGCAAAATTCTCACCTCCCTTTTCATGTGGTCAGAGTCTCATGGTTTTTTTGTTTTTGTTTTTGTCTTCCTTTAGACTGGGAACAGCTGACTTTTCTGTGGTTTGTTGGGGGCTTGTGTTTTGTCAGCCTCTCTACTTTCATGTGCCTGATGCAATTTAAATCCTAACAACACTAAAACCTTTTCATTAGAGCTTGTTAGTGTGGACTTTTGTAGGGAGAAAAATGCCAGGGGTGTGAAGGTAGGAGCCCATGAATTTTCTGGTTTCTTGCTTGCATTTTTTCCTTTTGGTTCCTAAACACATAGCTGTATCTATTAGGACCCTCACCCTAATTAAAAGCTCAAGGCACAGTCATCACAGTAATTAATTGTCTTCCGTATCTCACAGGCACTTAATGATGCCAAGCGGGAGCTTCGCTTTCTTTTGGTTTATCTTCATGGCGATGATCACCAGGACTCTGATGAGTTTTGCCGGTAAGCGGAGTGATCCTTTTCTTCCTTTTTTCAGACCTTATCTGCTGATAGTTTGTAGTCAGCAAGTTCTCATGTGCTTTTCATCCCTCTACGCAGCAACACACTCTGTGCACCCGAAGTTATTTCACTCATTAACACTAGGATGCTCTTCTGGGCATGCTCCACAAACAAACCTGAGGGATACAGGGGTAAGTTTTGTTTCTTTTGCTTCGTTGAGATTGTTGGATATCTTTGGAATGGTTTTGAAAGACATGCCATTTATTGCACGACTGTTTAGTGGTAGATGCAGTGCTAGTCGCTATTTATACATTATCTCATTTGATCTTCATCAGTTCTAAGAGATAGGACTTAATGGTTTAGGAAGCAGGCTCAGAGCTTTTAAGCCATTGACCCGAGATTACAGCAAGTTTTGGAGCGAGCACAGGTGTATCTGACTCCAAAGCTCATTCTTTACAGTTAACCATTGCCAGAGTCTGTTTTATTTTTAAAAACACCTAGTCCTGGCCAACAGCTTGCCTTTCATCTTGATGGGTTTTTTACTGAAGAGTTTGTTCTCTTCATCAGCAATTCTAACAGAGCTTCTTGCACAATGAGTTTGTTGTTTGAGTACCTTGAGTGCTAATATGAACTGAGAAAGTTCAGATCCTAGCTGACAGTAACTCTTAACTGGAGGTAGGTATTTTTAGAAGTCAATATAAGATATAAAGGCATCCAGTGAAGAAAAATGTCACTTTGCAGCTACTATTCTTCAGCCTTTGAGTGTATCCTAGCATGCCAGGCACTCTGCAGACCCTGGGAATCCAAGGTGAACAGACGTTTTTCCTACATCCTATAATGTGAATCTTCACTCCTAATTTTTTTAACATCTGATTAGTTCCTACAGCATGTGTTTTGCCATTCTAACACGGCTTTGGGTGGGGGTAGAGAGAAGGAAACCAAGGATGTTTTTCATAGAAGCTTTTGAAAAAAAGCTCTTAAACCATAAGAAAAACAGATAAAAGTACGTTATGATAAAATCTTGGTTATTTGGAAACTAACTTTCTAGATTCCTGAGGAGCAGAAAAGCTAAACAGTTTTGGGGAGGGAGGGAAGACATGAGAAAAGGGTAAAGAAAGGGATTAGGCAAGAGAAGAAGGATGGTAGAGATGAGCACCAGTAGCATCAGGCTGAGACTTCCCCACGCAGGGAAAAAGTATGCTAAGCAGTAGTCAGATGCTTTATACATCTTTTTCCTACCATCAAGTAGACATTGTCCCAGAATTTTGCAGCTTTCCCCAGCATCATCATTGCAAACAAAAAGCCTGTCCTATTCAGTCATCACTTGGGGATACAGACACAAATATATAACAAAAATGATTAAGAAACTAGGAGGAAAAAAAGATAGGCAGAGAATAAATGACCCCTCCTTCTTTCCCAACTGGGATTAAAGCATTTCTCTCTTGCTCGCTGTGGAGAGGTTAAGGGTTAATCTGATTTATCCCCAAGTCGTGCCCTTGATCTGTTGGGTCTTCTTTCTGTCAGTATCCCAGGCTTTGCGAGAGAACACATATCCATTCCTGGCCATGATTATGCTAAAGGATCGGAGAATGACTGTGGTGGGACGGTTAGAAGGCCTCATTCAACCTGATGACCTCATTAACCAACTGACATTTATCATGGATGCGAACCAGACTTACTTGGTGTCAGAACGCCTAGAAAGGTACAAGTTAGTTCCTTTTGAGAACTCAGAGACCAGCTGTAGAGTTGAGTGGCTTACCTGTGCTTCACAAATACTGACTTCTTTCCTGTCTTAGGCAACTTTAAAAGCCTTGCCCATTTAGTATTAAAATATTGATGTAAATAATTATACTTTAGATAATCTGTTCTTAGAGATATGATTCAAAATAGAGACAATAAGGAACTTAAATGTAGAAAATGGGGAGTGGTGATAACTCCCCCCACCATTATTACATGAGTAATGTACATGAATTGTGGAAAAACCACAAAAAAAATTAAAAATCCATAATCCTAACCACAACTTTTGACATTCCATGGTATATTGTCTTTTAATTTTAATATTTTATAGACATACAAACGCATACACACCTGTATATGCATGTATATTTTTTGGCAAAATTGGCATAATACTATCTTATAAACCCTTTTCATACAATAATAATGATAAAGCATTTTCCCTCATTATTAAATATTATCCTGCCATGTGGTTTTTAATTGTTGCATAGCATTCCATTATCTAAATACACTGTAAGTTAACCAGACTGCTGTTGTTGGACTTTTAGATTGTTTTCAGTTTTTTACTATTGTAAATAGCATCAATGGAAATAATTTTTTACAATTTGTGATATTTACTTAAATTTAAATTCCTGGAAGTATAATTTCTGGGTCAGACAATATAAATGTGTTTAAGTCTTTTGATATATAATGCTAAAATGTTCTCAAGACAGTTATATTTTATGCTAAGTTTTTAATAACATGGGAAAATGCTTGTTATATGTTATAAAAATGCAGGATATAAACTCTATAAATATATTATGGTTTTAACCATATAAAAATGTGTAGGAGAGGAAGCTTTCTGGGATGATGGATATGTTCTCTATTTCTTGATTGGAATGGTGGTTACATTTGTCAGAGTTCATTGAATAGAATAAATTTTTTAAAATTCATTGAATTGTGCATTTAAGATCTGTGCATTTCACTGCATGTGTATTTTACTTAATTTTAAAACGAAAAAATATAGTAAAGAATGTTTATCTACTGAAGCAGTCTTATTGGCTAGGGTGTTGTTCCTCCTAAAAGAAAAAGAACCGTAGGAGCGAAAATAGTAAATACACCAAAATGTTACAAAGTTTTATCTTTGATTAGTGGAACTGTGATAACATATATGTCTGCATTTTTCAGATCTTCTACTGTGTGCATGTGTGTGTGTGTGTGTATGTGTGTGTGGTTTTTTTAGTTTTATGAAAACACAGTACCAAAATGCAGTAACCCAAAAGGGTATTTACCTGTAAAGTATAATCTTACTGATCTTTTCATAGCGATAATACTGCGTTACTTTTGTTATAATTGGGGGAAAAAAAGATAAGTTTTTATGTTAAAAGTTAAAAAGGAAGGGAAAAGTTTGCCTTTCTTTTTCTACTAAATTAAACTGAGAAACAAGATGACTCATTTAGATTCTGCCTTACTCTGCTTTTGAAATCCCTTATGGTAGTGTGAAATAGTCATCTGCCAAGATTATTATTTTTACACCCCCCCAAAAAAATTTTTTGATATAAGAAAACACAGAGCTCTGTAAGATTGCTGCTTTCCTTCTATGCTTTTGATCTGCCCACAGGGAAGAAAGAAACCAGACCCAGGTACTGAGACAGCAGCAGGATGAGGCATATCTGGCTTCTCTCAGAGCTGACCAGGAGAAAGAAAGAAAGAAACGGGAGGAGCGGGAACGCAAGCGACGGAAGGAAGAGGAGGTGCAGCAGCAAAAGCTGGCAGAGGAGAGACGGCGACGGGTAACGGACCTTGTCTTGACACCTTGTAATCTGCAGCCTGCAGGAATTCTGCCATCTTGGTCTTTTCTTAAGTGTGAAAGGAAAAATAAAAAACTAGAAGAATATGAGTCATTTAAAATGTCTTTACCATTTTTATATTTTCTACATTTTCACAAAAAGAAAAAATTGTTTAGAAAAAAATAAAACTGAGTAAAAGACAGAATGGCTCCATTCTGTGAACAGTAAGTATAGTAAATAATCAGTTCAAAATGCTGTTAATTCACAGCAGTAGTTTTAAAATATTCACTCTTAGTACCAGTGTGGGCTAATTTGGCATTTCATTAATGATCTTATTTTATTATGTAATACTACTTGATGATAGCAAATGTCTTTTAGCCATTCCCTTTTTTTTCAAATAGTAAAATACCTAAACATAGCCAATAAGTAATACATATGATGCAGTAATGCTTTGAACAAGGTTGTTTCTGACTCTTGCCAAGAAGTTTTTCTTACGGTGATTAGTCATTACTTTTTATTCTGACTGCGTGACAAACCTACTTGGTTGTTGTATTTCTTGTTTCCTGTTTCCCTGCTGGAGCCATAGCCTCACCTTTGCTTTGTGTCTCTACAGAATTTACAAGAGGAAAAGGAAAAGAAGTTGGAGTGCCTGCCTCCTGAGCCTTCCCCTGATGACCCTGAAAGTGTCAAGATCATTTTTAAATTACCCAATGATTCTCGAGTAGAGAGACGATTCCACTTTTCACAGTCTCTAACAGTAAGGGCCCCCTAAGTTGTGTGAACTGTATGTAGAGTCCAGGCTGTGGATTTGGAGACTTTTACAGACTCTCGGGAGTGTTGTTGGTGTTTCTGCTGCCCTGATGAACAGGGAAGGAACAGAAAGACAGACAGACAGATAGATAAACGATGTCAGTGGACACAGGAGGAATGTAGTGAACTGTTATAGATTCCTTCAGTTGTTGCTACCAACTCAAATCAATTATTAAGGTTTTCTTTCATCCATCATAATGTTTGAACTCTGCACAAGACTTGTGTGTTTGAGGGTGAGAGAGTCTTCCGTGCTGCTCTTCTTGCACTGGCTTTAGAATCCCACCAAAACCCCTTGCTCTATAGAGAAAACTCTGCCTCCAGTGACCTAGAAGCACCTGAATTACACACCTGTATATCAGGGCACGTGCAGTTTGGATGCAGTTGCAATCATTTCTCTCCCTTTCTACCCATGGTCACTTCTTGAGGCTACCGTACATATTTGGTATCCATAAAAAAAAACCAAACTAGTGGTCACTGAGTCAGTTCTGACTCATGTAGACCCAGTGTATTGCAGAGTAGAACTGTGCTGTGACCTTTCAGAAGCAGATCACCAGGCCTGTCTTCCAACGCCCTCTAGGTGGGTGCAAACCACCAACTTTTTGGTTAGTTGTTGAGCACTTAACTGTTTGCGCCCCCTAGGGACTCATTGCTATCCATAGGTAAACAGTATTTTGTTTTTCCATAGTCTTCTCCTTTCTCTTAAAAGGAATGGAAAGTAGTCAAAAGCAAAGAGTCTGAGCCTCACAGAATGAGAGTCAAATTCTAATTCTTCCAAGGCTACCAGATATGTTTTCTTGATCACTTTACTTAATCCAGTAGCTTCGATTTCCTCATAAACAAAAGAAAGTTTTTGTTTATATTGTGAGTTGGTAAGCTACCTTCCCAAATTTACAGCTGTAGTAGATTCTGCTATTTCCCTGATCATCCGAGATAATCAAGAGTAAATTGTGTAATAAAAATGAAGATGTACTATAGTCTTGTAAGGCTGGGTAGTACATTCTTTGATTCTCCTTATTTAACTGAAGAACATAAAACATTAACTCACTAGTTAAAAATCTTTTACAATGCCTCAGATTTCCCATCTGTGAAATGGACAGATAACCTGCCCTCTAATAACTTTAAACTGAAGATAAGTGTCTGTGAGGCTCTGTGCTAGGTACAGTAGGGATTATGCAGATGAATAAGACATAGTTCTGGCCAGTAGGGAATGTAAGACTCAAAAGATCTAACCCAGAGTACAGGGTTATGTGGCATCCTGGTGACAGAAAAGCAAATAGCTTTCTCATTTCATTTGTTTATCTCTTCATTTATGAATTATTTATATTGGAGGGGTACTCACATCTCAAATTTTGGATTTTTTTTTTTAATTGGGATAACAAGAATGTGCCTCACACAGCACCTACATGTAGTAGGTGGTCATTAAATGTTAATCCCCTTCCATAGAATCCACATGGAAACCAGTGGTTAGAAAAGCCTGCTGTGACCACTGGTTTGCATAAGGATTCTAGCCTGCAGCCATGTTTATTAGCAATTTCACTGTCCTCGTTTTGGGGTATAGCCACAGGCGCCTGAGTTTTATGGAACTTCTACATCCAAAGCTCCCATAGGTAAAAATATATGTGAAAATGTAACTAAAATTTACTCTCCTGAGAGTTTTTGAGGAGAAATCTAGTTTAATTGTGGAACAGAATGGGTTTGTGGCCAGAAGAAGCCTTTTGTTAACTGTTTAATTGTTTAAAAAAAGACCTGAGACTGAGAGAAGTGTTTGATCATAAACAAGACCAGGCTCAGAGATGTCAGCGAAGTGTGAAGGAGGAGTAGTGTAGTGGCAGAGCTGGCCTTTACTACTCGTAGAGATCATAACATAACCAAATAATGTACAGTTCTTCAGTGCTCTTATCTTACTGTGTACTCTCCCCGCTGTAAATTATCCTAAGGGGTGAATGTACAATGAAACGTTCAATTTGCAGATGCTAGTCGGCTCTTGATAGTGGTGAAATGCTAAAACAAAAAACGATAAACTGTAGGAAAATCTCCAGGTTTTATGAGTGAGCAGGAATGTGGCAGCTGACTTTCTTTTGAATGAGTGCGTAGGAGAGAGGATCCAAATACTATTCATTTTTCTATCTATTACAAACCAAAAAGAACCTCTGGGGGTATGTAATCCATTAGCTTGAGATATCAACCCATTGTCAATGGCAAACGAAAAATGCCAGCTTTGAATGTTGGATATTCTCTAGCAATAATTGAAACAGAAAATATTATTTCATCCTTATATAAAATCTGCGTTAGGTTTGTGCCAAGAATACTTCGTGTGAGTCAGATTGGTGCATCTGAAGAAAAGAAAAGTGAACATCATGAAAATTACAAAGAGTCAGAGAAAATGATTGAGGCTGATAGGAGACTGAAATATGAGAAGTTTACAAAATCATGGATTAGATTAAAAGAACATGAATTTACTCCCTAAATTCTAGAGTTGTAGCCCCTTAAAATCTCTAAAGAGGTAAGTTTAAGACAAAGGAAGGACAGCATCACACAGAGGGGAAGAAACTTAGAGAACCCATCCCATCATTCTGAAAGATGGACCAAAAAGAAAATAGAAATCGCTTCCCACGAAAGAGAAGGATAAAAGCTTGCGTAACGTTTCCTAATCTTGGAGTTGGCCAGAAAGAGGTGAGCAGTGCCCTTCACAACACATCCCTTAGAGTCTTTGTCAGAAACAGATTGCTTGATGGAAAAGCCATAGAGAGGATCCAGTGCCTTGCTCTTTGTGTGTGGCACAGGACAGAGGCAGGGAAATGTGGGCTGGCCTATCAGCATTTTAAGTATTAACAGTGTGAGTTCTCCATACCTTGTCAGAGCCAGGGCATGGTGAGGAGGACATTCCCATTGAGGGGCAGTTCATGTGAAGGGTGTCAGAGCTCAGTAAGGTTAACGAGGGTTTCGAAATGTGGGGGCAGCCCAGTGCAGGGAAGCCATAGCCCCAGTGGTGCAGTGTCACTTGGTGTCAAAGCCAGAGCAGGATGAGGAAGGTATATATAGGAAGGTGGGGCCTATATGGGGAGGGGGCTGAACTCATGGTTTTCAATGTAGCTATGTATGGATATTTAGATTTGTGTTATATGTGTGTGTGTGTGTGTGTGTGTGTGTGTGTGTGTGTGTATGTGTGTGTGTACATGTGCACTTAACACATATATGCAAGTACACATATTCCCTATCTGTTCAAAGAGAGTGCCTGGGAGCGGCAACACCCCAATAGCAGTGAGCATACCTAGCACCCACATCTTTGGCTCTAAATTCCACTGTCCACTAAGAAGATCCCAGGGGACTTGTTGAAGAAATGACCAATGCAGGGCTGGTGCAGGGAAAATAGGAGTCTAGAGCATCTTGTGCTAGAAAGCAAGGAAGTGCTCAAAGAATGATGGGGACATGTCAGAAAGACACAGAAGTCAGCTTCAATGGGTTCCATCTGGAACTATTTGAACATTAAAATAAATAATGATTTATAACATCATAACCCATCAAATAAAATAGGAAACCATGAATCTATATTGATAAAAAGTAAAGGAATAAATTGAAAGTTTGAGGAAGAAAACTTTCCATAGTTTTAAAGCATTTCCCCATAAAATATTAATTAATTACAAAGGGAAGAAAAGAGTAACTTACAGTGGAGAAGCCTGGCAGACTCCATCACAGTCAGTTGATCAAAGTAAACATCATAGGTACTGAGACAAGTGGAAATTGTGCTCCACCTGAATAGGGTGCGATGGGTAGAACACAGCATCACTTCGGTGATATTCCTGCCAAAAATGCCTACCCTGAATCTACAAACTGAGGGATATTCTACAAAATAAGTGTCGAGGTCATGAAAGTTGAGGAAAGATTGAGGATTTGTTCCAGACTAAGAGGAGACTAAAGACACATGGCAACTAAATGCAACACATGATTCTAAACTGGATCCTTGTACAGTTGGCAAAATTTGAATGGTGTCTTATATAATGGCAATAGTGGATTAGTGTTAATTTCCTGATTTTGAGGGTTGTATTTTGGTTATCTGGGGATTGTCCTTGTTTGTAAGACATACATCCTCAGGTATTCTGGGATGATGGAATATCAGAATAGCAACTCACTCTGATTTGAGGAAAAAATTCTGTCATATACTTCCAACTTTTCTGTAACTTTTTGATTATTTCCAAGTAAAAAATATTTTAGCTTTATATCAAAGTTGTCAAAGAAGAAACAGTTGAATTAATTGAGGGTAGAATGAGCATTGGGCCTATGTAATCTGTTTTAAAAGGGTGCCCTACATATTTGGTCTGTGAAATGGGAATACCCAGAAGTAGAATTCTAATGTAACGTGATGACTTTATATGCTGGCGTCATCCCTGAGGAGAACTGGGGGGCATTTTGACTTCTTAGTCATGTGTATCTATATTATAGTCTTTTTCTCACTGCCCTTCGTTTTCTACATGACCTCTGCAGGTAATCCATGACTTCTTATTCTCCTTGAAAGAAAGTCCTGAAAAGTTTCAGATCGAAGCCAACTTCCCCCGACGGGTGCTGCCCTGTGTCCCCTCAGAGGAGTGGCCCAATCCCCCTACACTGCAGGAGGCCGGACTCAGCCACACAGAAGTTCTCTTTGTTCAGGACCTAACAGACGAATGACACTTTTTCTTCCTCTCCCCTCCCACCCCAATCCCTAAAAGAAATGGAAAAAACAAAACAAAAAAAGAGAGAGAAAAGTTCATATTATTATTATTATAATAATACAATATTTTTTTTAAAAGACTGCTGCATCCTAAGGAAGGATCAGAAACCATGCTGCCTGCAAGACTCACAGCCTGTGTGTGTGGAGAGAGGTTAGCAACGAACAGACCTGCTCGGCAAGCCCCCTTCCCTCCTGTCTCTGCATCACGCACCTGCCACCAAAAGGAGACTCTTCACCTGCCACCCACATTGTCACGACTGGGGAAGGGGACATTCCCACCAGTTTTCATTCATTCTTGTGTTTATGGAAAATAAAAATGAAAAACCTGCATGAACCAGCTACTGCAGCAACTCCTGAGGACTTGCTTCTGCTTCTGGAGAAGAAAGGAAGAGAAGGGACAAAACAAGGGTGTTCCTTGAACTTCTCACAATTTATGAGTAACTTTGAATTTTTTTGTGTTACTTTATAATGACCAAAGGAATGAGGCTGACACAGGTGTTTTTGTTTTTCCCTTTATTTGATAAAGAGTCAGTTCTTAAACCCATGAGTTCATACCCCCGGCTCCTTGGCCCCCAGGAGTGTAATAAAGGTGCCTGGGCTGGTTTGTGCTTATTTCTGCCATTGTCCCTCTCAAGTTCCCAGAGAGGCCATTCTTTTTGGTCCAAGTCTTGCTGTCCTTGCTTGCCATTGATGTACTCAACTTGGGCAGTGGGAAGAAATGTCCTGTAGCCCCACAAAGGCTACATCTGTACATATACACCCATCTATGTGGTGTGACCTCCGTGTATACTCACCTAGACACACAGCTGCAGCTTTTCCTTGGGATCTGTACCAGGTAGTTATTACGGGGTCTGAACCAAAGGATAGCAGCTCTCCATTCCTCTTCTGACATGTGCATGCTCCTCCTCCCAGCCGTCAGCTCTCCTGAATTGCCAAGCTGGGCGCCTTTCCCAAGGACCAGCAGAGCCTGTGGTGGAGCCAGCAGAGCCAGGGGAGAGTGTCCTGCTTGTGTCAGTGCAAGTGTGTGTGTGTGTAAATGTGTATGAGTTTTTTGTTTTTATTTTCCCCTTTAAGGATAGAAAGAACCAGCAGCCTTGAAGGGAGCTGTGACAGGGCTCCCAGCCTGTGTAAACTATTGGAAGGCACGTTTCAGCTTCTGATGTAGCCACCTGCTGGAGGCAGTTTTTATCCTCTCCCTCTATTGCTGTGTTGAAGTAATAGGGCTTTTTAACCTCTGGACGTCTCACGTGTGGTTGAGTTTATGGTAATGAGTACATGGGTCAGGCCATGTATTAACAGATGCCAGTGTGAGCTGACAAGTATTACAGAGTGTTCTCTAGCTAGACTGGTGCAGACCGGTTGTAACACTGCAACCTACAGACGTTACTGTAGTTCCTAGAACGCCATGAGACCAAGATGTGCTGATTGAGGTAAGCATAACTTGTTAGATTTGCAGTCTCCAAAGGCTTTCTGTCTTGTGTAATGGAAACCTAAGAACAGCTCTTTTAAGTAGCAGTCATGTGCAGCCCTCAGTTGGGTTAAATACCATGGGCCAGGGTGAGGAGTTTCAGGGCATCACCTGGAGAGCTGGAGAATACCCCAGTGGTCTTGGCACAGGTGTCCAGCACACAATCTCTAGGGAAATTGATGTCTGCTCTTGGCTGCCTATTCTTCCTCTCTGCTTCCTGCTGTCCCTAGGCCAGATGAATGGGAAGTTGCTGTCAGACTATTGTCATAAGATGTATCTGGAGTGACTGACAGGATAAACTGTTCCCCACTCAGCCCTCTGTGAAGTCTGCTTCACGCTGACAACCATGCAAAGAGGAATTTTTCCACTCAACTCGGAGCCTGCCTCCCTGTCGGGAGTTCCCAGCTGTTTCCCTGATAGTGCACAGGAGGGAAATAAGGACCTTCATTCTTGTTCTCTTCAAAGGCTGGGTGTTCTTTATCAGCATCTTGCCCACACGTCTTTGGGGAAGTTGTGTTTTTCCCCCCTTAATCGATCTGCATTTTATTTTATAATGTGCACTTTATGTCTCTTGCCTTTTGGTAACAGTTGTTCAGTGAAGGAGATCAGATGTCAGAGTACTAAGAAAAGTCTCTGCTCGTGTCAGTATAGCTCTTGGGACGGCCTACCCACTTACTTTAGGTCTCAAGAGGCTTCACCTGAAGCTTACGCCCCTTCCAAGCCCCTTTTGAAACAGCCCTGCTTTACCCAGACCCCACTCCTGCCTTCTTGCTGACCCTAGTGCTGCTGCCTACGTGCTGTCTCCTTTCCTCCCACGGGAAAGATGGCTGCATATTTGTCACTTAATGCCAGTACAATCTGTAAACTCCCAGGGCCCTCTGGGAGAGCGAGGGGACCTGCACAGGAGGAAACACTGAGGAGCTGGTGGTCTGTGAGCGTTTGCTCTTGTTTCCAAATTGCCTCTGAGATATTTCAGCTGTTCAGTTTTGTTCTGCACTCCCAAGACTGAAGTTGTAGATTCTGCTGCAGAACCATGGAAAATAACCAAGCAAAGACACCCTGTTGGAGTCAGGTGAATTTTTGCAGCCTCAGTGGGGCCCTTCTGGTATTTTTCTATGGAATTTCCTGCAGCAAATATTTCTTTCTCCTTGGTTGCCTCTGCTATGATATTTGGGTAAGAGAAGGCCAGAGGAGATATTTATCTCCTTAAAAAACTAAAACTGAAAAGAACCTGGGATCTTCAACTGAGCAGTCATTACAAAATTGCTAATGGTGCCAAGGCCGAGGAAAGAGTTTCAGAAAATGACTTTGGGAAGGAGTGATGACCCCCACTACCACCACCACCACCACCAAATGCAGAATCGGGAGAATTACCTGGTGCTTGAACAAGGAGCTCCACTTTACAACTGGTTTTTTTTAGGACTCGGGAGAAACGCAGCAACGGGAAATCCATCCACGAGGGATGCAGTGTCCCAACTCGTACTGCACCTGAATAGTTCTGTGATCATTTACGGAAGAAATCTAGTGTACTTTAAATTTTTTTCATAAAAGTTTACATTGTATTGTAGGTTAACATTAAATGTTTTATAACAAAAAATGTAACAAGCTGTGGGTCTTTTCTGTCTAGGAGAGATGATATTTTTCTTTGTATGAAGGAAAAGGTAGAAAACAATGTGGGAGGGAACAAGGTATTGCATAGCCAAGAAGCAAGAGATAATCAAGAAACCAGTTAACTCATTGCCATGAAGTCAGTGCCAACTCATGGCAACCCCAAGTGTATCAGAGTTCCATAGGGTTTTCATTGGCTGATTTTTTTGCAAGTGGGTCACCAGGACTTTCTTCGAAGGCACCTCTGGGTGGATTTGAACCTCCAGCCTTTCAGTTAGCAGCCAAACGCGTTAACCATGTGCACCACCCAGGGACTTCAAATCAAGAAAAGCAAAGGAGTTAAAATGTGTTCCTGTAGAAAATGTCAATTTAGTCAGTGTGGTGTAATAGAGTTGACAGGTCTGGGTTCAAATTTGGGCTTTTGTCATTTGTCAACTTTGTGACCTCAGGCAAGGTTTTTAGCTTCCCTGAGCTTTAGTTTCCCCAACCATAAATGAAGGTAACGCTATCTGCCTTAGAATAGGTTTGTGGACTAAAATAAATATGTGTGAAGTACCTGACACAAGATAGGTATCATTAAGTGTGCTGCTCCCCACAGGGGAGTGTATTTTGAAGGAATGTTTTCTTGCAATAACAACTTAAGGGATGTGTCACTTTGCTGGAACAGACTTCTGTCTTTGTAAAGGAGTGAGTGGAGGAGAATCACTTATGATCTAACAGATCTGGACTATTGAAATTCCCTTTGTAGGGTATTCGCTCATGTTTTCATTTCTGAAAGGAATTTAAGCCGAAGTTCCCTGCCTGCCTTTCTCGTCCCCACTGTCTGTCCTTGTTCACAGAACTCATCCTGTGAGTTACAGTCTTGTCACCCTCAGAGTCTGCCCTGTTGCTTATCCAAAAAATATGTAAAGCCTTCTTCCTTTATGTGCATGTTAAGTCTAGTAGAGGCAGAACTCGACAGGACTGCCTTTTTTTGGGTGGGGGGGAGTGTCTCGAAAGTTTTCTGCCTTTGACTGGGTGCAGTCTTACCACTTCTCTATCACTGTCTGTTAGTGGAAAATAAATTGAGTTTTCCTTCTCTGACAAGTTTCCATCTTACACAGGTTCCAGCTTTCACAGGTGTTACTGTAAAAGGAGCCCTGGTGGTACGGTGGTTAAGCGCTTGGCTGCTAACCGGATGGTTAGCAGTTGAAACCCACCCGAGAGCTCCCTGGGAGAAAGACCTGGCAATCTGCTTCTATAATGTTTACAGCCTAGAAAAGTCTTTGGGGCAGTTCTACTTTATCACATAGGGTCTCTGTGAGTTGGAATCAACTCAGCAGCACCTAACAACAAATCTAGTAAATCTGCAAAGAAGAGTATGTTCACTGCTCTGCCAGAGCTCCTCACTTTAGGTCAGAATCCGCTGAAAATGAACGTTCCACAATTGATTGTGAAGCTTACATATAAAATATTTACCATCAATTAACTGGGTCAAGGAAGATTCAGACTCCAATGCCAGACACGCCTGGTCCAAATCGTGGCTCTAGCCATGGTTTTGACTTAGTCACGTCAACTCTGGGCTTCAGTTTCATCCTCTGTAAAATGGGGCTGGTTGTAGCATTGCTGTGAAGATTAAATGAAATTGCTGTTACAGAGTGCCTGGCACACAGTAGGTGTTCAGTTAAGTAATAGTTTCTGCTACTGTTGTCAAAACATGGTTTCTAGTTTACTGACTGCTAAAGATACACTCTAGATGTGGATAAGGGGAGGAAAAACAAAAAGGTGAGGATAGGTTTAGGCAATGCTTATTGGCAGATAGTGCCTGGTGCTTTTTCTTTCTTGAATCCCAACTCT